AATGAGCAATTAGGTATCACGACGGTTGATGAAGCAATAGGGAGTATTAGGCAACGGTCGCAATATGCTCATCATCACCCTATTAATGTCCCCACTGCTGGGGCACAGACCTTCACTATGGATGCAATAAGGAGTCTGGGCCGTGACCCACCACGCGGGTCCCATTAGGTTTGGTGGGTGCTAACAACTGCAAAAGTACTAGTAGAACAACATTATCTTTTGGTGGCGATGTGTTTCTGTTGCTGAGGGTAAGGTAAGGGTAAGGGCATAATTGGGTAGAGGATATTTATGTGCCGCTGCGTATGTGATTTTTATAGGAATTTTACAGGTACCTATATTTATCGGAACATTCCTAAAAATCCAATATTTCAGGATAAATTTTCAACATTTTCATAAAAATTGTACATTACATGGGATGAAGTTGGAGGATGGCTGGGGTGACATATCTTTTTTGTAGCAGCAGGTGTTTTCACAACTGAACTTAACAGCCGCTAGGTCGGATATTTTGATGCGCCCTGTATTCCAGTCAGTCCTAAGCGATTAGCCGGGCTCTTAGTACTAAGTGAGGCTTTTTGAAGTGTGCCCATAGAATTACAGAAAGTGATTATAATGAGACGTCATGTCGCTTTTGCAGAATTAAGTTAAAACATACACCTTTTAATTGCAAAATAATGTTCTGATTTCCACATCGTTACCATCTTAACAAAACTATAATCACTGCATTCATCAAAAAGTGCCTGCTTAGCTATGATTTTTTATGGGGTTCAAGGCTTCGAGCATGTATGCTTTAAGGTTCAAGCTGATAAGCAAGCGTAAGGCTCTTCTAATGATAAGTGCTCCCGATAGCCGTTTGCAGTACCGTATGGTAGGTAGCGTTGCGAAAAATAAATTTTCGATCCCTAATTTGAGGCTGAGCAAAAGCAGTAAGTCCTTGTAGGTCGTAGTGTTTTAGTTTCTATAACATGAGCAAAAGCTGTAAGTCCATTTAGGTCGTAGTGTTTTAGTTTCTGTTACATGAGCAAAAGTAGTAAGTCCTTTTAGGTCGTAGTGTTTTAGTTTCTATTACATGAGCAAAAGCTGTAAGTCCTTTTAGGTCGTAGTGTTTTAATTTCTATTACATGAGCAAAAGTAGTAAGTCCTTTTAGGTCTTAGTGTTTTAGTTTCTATTACATGAGCAAAAGTAGTAAGTCCTTTTAGGTCGTAGTGTTTTAGTTTCTATTACATGAACAAAAGTAGTAAGTCCTTTTAGGTCGTAGTGTTTTAGTTTCTATTACATGAGCAAAAGTAGTAAGTCCTTTTAGGTCGTAGTGTTTTAGTTTCTATAACATGAGCAAAAGTAGTAAGTCCTTTTAGGTCGTAGTGTTTTAGTTTCTATTACATGAGCAAAAGTAGTAAGTCCTTTTAGGTCGTAGTGTTTTAGTTTCTATAACATGAGCAAAAGTAGTAAGTCCTTTTAGGTCGTAATGTTTTAGTTTCTATAACATGAGCAAAAGTAGTAAGTCCTTGTAGGTCGTAGTGTTTTAGTTTCTATAACATGAGCAAAAGTAGTAAGTCCTTTTAGGTCGCAGTGTTTTAGTTCCTGACGATGTCGTTGCACAGAAAGACACTAAATTAAAAAACTCAGTTAAAAAAATATTAATTAGCATAGCTTAGTATAAAATTGAGGACTGAGTAAAGGATTAGGTTTGCACTGCGATGATAAATAAGTAACTGTTATACATTTTTTATAGGTTATTTTTGTTTATTGATAAATTTCGCGCCTTATTATATAGGTGTGTTTGTTTGTGTTTTTTTGTATATATGTATGTCCACATGACGTCAATCGGTATCTGTAAAGATTTATGTTGCATAAACTTACTTTGATTTTTTTGATTTTAAACGACTACGTCCCAAACCAGGAGGTCTGGAAAATAAAAGAGCATCACATTACAATTTATTATAATCAAATATTTCGTATACATCCGCACTCCAAATCTTGAATTTAGGTCTAACTCTATATATCGATACCTACGATGTGTATAAAGTGTTGGTGGCTGAGTTATATCGCAGAATTCCAAAAGTCACTTGTTATTTGTTCTTAATTTGAATGCATCAACCGTGCTCATCTTGTGATTATAAAGTACAATAGAGCGTTACCTCACAATGTGAGCGACAGGAGTTCGTTTCCGATAGCCTAACAAGAATCACGACGATCCGAAGTGACGCAATGCACACCCGAAATTTGAACCACTGAATGACGGCGCCTGGGCACCAAATGTTTGCTTTTTACGTAATAGATCATCATTGTTCTTGAGATTTTTCCGGAGTAGTTTGACCGAATTACGCAATATATTGTTAGCCTAGGGGTTTAAGTAGTTTCACTTGGACACCTCTTTAAAAAACTAGACTTGAATTACATGTTAGCCTTTAAAACATCTGCATTTTCCTTGTACTATTTAAAGTGAATATGTCAAATGTTTTCCTAATTCCGGGAATTAAACGGGATGAGTTACATAACAGTTTTTTTTTGTATTTTATGTAGAATGCTCGCTGAAAGTCTAATAGATAAAAAATCAATTAAATCATTTTTCCCATCCATGAAAAGGAGACGAAAATATATTCTTTAATTTTTACTCCAGCATGTGACACATCATTGTAACGAGAGTAGTAACGAAGAAATGGGACGAGGCCGTCAAACTTGTCATTTTAGACCATTTTTGTTACGGAGACTATCTCAAAATTGAAACTAGGGAGGAATGTGAAATTTTGGTATATGGTGCGCGCTTCTTTATATAAATTCCACGTCAAGTTAAATAAATTCAGTGTCAATATTTAAACTATACATGTCATAAAAATTTTAGATTAAAATAATAATTATGATTACAGAGAATACTATTATTTTTTAATGCCAGTCAATAGTACCTATACCTTAATTCAAAATGTCAACAAAGTGTAAAACGCTCCTTACCTTGATTTAATCTACAAAAGATTTTAATATGACAATAATATACAACCTATGCAGTTTTTACGCATCATACTAATATTATAAAGGCGAAAGTTTGTGAGTGTGTGAGTGTGTTTATAATCAAATTTGATATGGAGTAAGCTGCCACCCTGGATGAACACATATGCATCGTTTTACTGCGGGAAAATATCCCTAATAAACCGCGGGCAACACCATGGGGCACAGCTAGTTGTTCATATTTTTTTTTTATTATACGGAAAGCTTTAGTTAGCGCCATGGTCCGTACACACATACGGTATTACTCGATAGTTTTACTGTAAAGCGAGTAAAATTCAATGCGTCACCTCCTACGAACGAGGTTTCGAGTTGTGAGTTTTGCGATCCACAAGTTTATTTTTAATCCATGTACAGTAAAACTGTCCAGTAATACCGTGTGTCCGTACAGACCATTAGCGGTCGCTCGAGTAGGAAGATTTAGTAGATTACCACTTGCATAGGTACCTGGACAACAAAAAAGCATTCTTAGAAATATTTGCCAACACCAAAAATTTTGCAAAATTTTGGCAAGCAGGAAAAATTTCCTCTCAAGGGTAAGATTATTAATTTATATTTTTAACATTTTCGTAATGCTATAAATCAAAGAATAAAGAAAAGTTAGTGCTTGTCCGTCGTCTCCAGTAATATACTTCATATATGTATATTTAAGTACTCAAGGAATTTATTTTCTATCGTCATTACTCAATTCCAAAGTTTACACATACGTAGATACCTTGCCGTAAATATTTCTATAAAAGGTTACTACTAGATACGATGTTACGACAACTATTGAATAATTATGTAATTTACGTTCTTGCATGCCTACGCGGTCATGTGAGTGCCACCTTTGCTGATTCTCCATTGTCATCACGTACCAATTAAGAAGGCATTCACCTCACACGCCTTTGACATTACTTAGACTACTATAATGACGCAAGGTTCAAGTCATTAAAAACAAAAACTTTTGGTGAAAGTATACCAAGTACTAATTGGCATATAAATGCGTGAGATAATTTCATATTATCGCCGGTGCTGGCTCCGGCTGCAGTTTAACATGCGTGTAGTTTACATTTCACTTGATGGTTGTTAAAAAAATATATACGCATATTATAAAACCTCTGTTTGTCGGTGATTAATGAATCAACAATTTCACTTTCAATTATTTTGTGCCTTAATATATTTTTGGTGGGATGTTGCATTCTTTCAAGGTTTCTTTTTCTTATCAATAATTCTAAATAAACTCTTCATCCTATTTTTTTTGACAGTCCTAAATGAAGATCAATAGCATATACATCCCTAGTAACTCAGAAACAATCACTATTTTACCTTTTTAAAAACAAAAGCTAGCGGGATTCGATCCCATAATCTTTAGGGCATAGAGATACTTCATACTGTTGAACTAAACGACTGAGAGCGCCCATTTATCTGTGGGAGAGCGAAAAGAAAAACAAACACATTCTTTAAAATACTTCCACTTACTTAGTCGGGATTGGAAAATAAAAATCTCATAAATTGCTTAAATTATATATTTCCTTAAAAACAAATTATAAAACATAAAAACAAAATTGTACTTTATGTCAGATATGGATCCGCACCTCTACTGATCCACATCCATAGGTTTTGAGCCTCTTTTATTTTTGGATCAATAATAATGAGTCACATGAACTATCATTATTACTAATTTTAAATAGAAAATACTTCTAAATAATATAAAGATATAACAAAAAATCTGTTCTCATTATTTTTATCCAGTGTCTCTTCTAATAATTGATTGTTATTCTGAATTATTAAAAGAGATAAAGATGAAACTAAACTAATTCACCATTAAATGCTTACATAATCTGTCGCTAACAACAGAAGTAAGAATTTAGTAGTTAATAATATTTTAGCCTCTCAAACATTGAAATATTAAACGTGAATAACTACTGAACCATTCTGGAAGTTTGAATTGTTCTTTGCACTTCACTAACGTAATTATATATTCAACGTCATATAGTACAGTGTTGATGATTTTATAGTATACTATAAATTTTAAAACAATCAACATGAAAGTTAGTCGTCTTCATAGAAAGTGAATATACTTTTATACACGTTAGTTGGATAGTAACAGAATCAGTAAGCTCAATTGTAAATTCACTTTCTAGGGCGCACGCAAAGTCAAATACATTTCGCATATGCAAATTGAAAAATTCACAGTCGCCTAATGCCTAAAGCATTCGCCTCCGCGTACGCCATGATAATTATCAAATTAACACTTACCAGTCTGGGATAAATATCGCTTCCCTTGAGTATTTTGGTATTTGATTATTTTATATTTTCTATCCTTGGTAGATCGGTAACAAAAATGTAACAATGACTAAGATCAAAATTAAAATTACTATATATACAAAATGTCATGGTTAATACCTATTTTTAATCCCAGCCGTGGTGTTCGTGGTGTTCATGATGTATGGGCACCCAGACCTTTTCCCATACTGGCTTCCATACTTTCTTCCAAGCAGGAACTTCAATGGTCTTCCAGACGGGCACTTGGATTTGTTTCCATTTCTCAATCCAAATTTTCTTTTGGACAGGTACCCAGACTTCTTTTTTTACCGTCTTCCATACTTGTACTTTTTCTTCAATCCATTCCTGTTTTTTCTCTGTTACCCAAGCTTGCTTCTTCTCAGTTCTCCAGATCTGCTTCCACTCTTCTTTCCATTCCAATTTTTTCTCGGTTACCCACTCTTGTTTCTGCACAGTTTTCCAAACTTTCTTCCATACTGGCTTCCAGATCATCTTCTTTCTCCACAAGTCGTGGCTAGTGTATTCCCATCCATGCTCGTCCTTACCTAAGAATTTTTCTCCGGGAACACCCTCTTTCACCCATGCCGGGACGTGTGATTGTTTCCATTCGGGTACTTGTATGTTTTTGGTTATAGGTACTTGAATTTCTTTCCAAACCGGTTTCCACACTTTCTTCCAGTCTGGAACCTGGACCTCTTTCCAGATGGGGACTTGCACTTCTTTCCAGATAGGTTTTTGCACTACTTTCCACGCGGGAACTTGTTCCTCTTTCCACTGTTGAACTTTTTCTGTTTTCCAGGCGGGCACTTTTTCTTTTTTCCACTCCGTCTTCCAAATAAGCTTTTTATCAGTTTTCCAGATCTGTTTCCATTCTTCTTTCCAAACGAGTTTCTTCTTCCATACTCCTTCCGGTGGTGGTGGTGAATGCCAACCTCCAGGCGAGCGCTTCTCCCTGATCAACTCAGCGTCCTGCTCCGCATCCTTGATGGGTAATGCTAGGGATGCTGAGATTGCCAGCACCACCCATAACTGAAATAAGAAGAAATAAAATTAATATACATAAATAATACAAGTAACCAGAAAATATATTACGAGAGTACCGAAAAAATTAACATAGTTTTACACTACCAAATATACTTGTACATGTATCTATTTATAACAACAACATAACAACGTGTATAGCTGTAATTATGTAGGTCCATAATTTAAAAAAGTTTATGAATTCATTTCACTTTTACTCATTATTTTATAGAAAATAATTGGTTTTCTACAACACTTTCTTTTGCTTAACATGCATAAATTATTTAAAAGTGCGTTTCTTTTGTTAACATTACTGAATCATATTTATTTATCATCGCAATCTTGATTATTTCAAATATACTGTTAGCATATATAATGAATTAATAAATGGGACTACAAATTGATGCCAAATAATAACAAATGATGAATTAGCTCAATCATATTTCTTGATATAAATCGTCTCCTTGTTTTTCAATAAATATATAAATAATCCTTTAAAAATAGAAACCCACTAAAAAGTTTGAGCAAAAGTTCAGTTTTAAAATATTCTAGTGAAAAACATTATCTAAAAATTTAACTGCTAGATTTATAAATCTAAAGAAATCTTTTACTAGAAAAAAAAAATCTAATAAAAGAATTCGTTAGAAAATTTTCTGTCTAAAAAAATGCATTAATAAAGCACAACCAAATCAACAATTCAATGATTAATATCTTTATAAGGAAACAAAATTGCAATCATGATTCTTATGATAATCAACGCGAGTGGCAGTAAAACTAAACTATAATTTATAATTTTCAATAAGTTTAAATTACAAATTCGTAAGATTTTATCAAAAGTGAAGACGAAAGTATCATTATTTTCTTTAATTCTTCATAGCAAAATAAGTTTATTCAGCGAAAACTAAAGGTTTCCCTCATTTTAGTAAAAAAAATATTTATCAATAGTCAAAATACCGATTATCGATATTTTGCGTCACTTCGTTTAGATTTAGACTGAAACACTTTCTAGCACTAACAGTCCAGTAACACTTTTTTTTTAACGGACGAAATATAATATCACAACACCAACAAGTACACAGCACACCCACCGTAATGGTCAGCGTCCTCATTTTGGTTTGGAGGTGCTCGCTGCCGCGACTGCTGAGGTTGTGGCGCGGCAGTCTTTTATCAACAGGCCCCTCTCTTTGCTCCTGCTAAGGATCGCAACGTCACGCCGTGTGACGTCACATGAGCGCATGCGCTACGATGATAGCGCCGCGCCGTGCGATTTTCACTTGTTCCGGTGATGGAGCTTTTGTCACGCCGCGGCAAACGATTAGGCGCGTTAAGGGAAGAGCTTAATTTGATCGCTCAGACGTTGCATGCGAGCGATCGGCTATCAGAACTTCCTTGGTTTTTTCTTTAGGATTTTATATTCGTTGAGTATTTATATAATAGGTACCTATTTATTAGTATAAACCTTCTTTCACTATGATCTTAAAATTCCACTAGGAATCAAGATATTCAAGAATGGATAAATATTTTCAATAATGGGTCCCGACTGATAAAGTAGCTTTGTTCCTTACTTAACAGAATTGTAGACTACTGGACTTGTTTTTTTATTTTCAGTTTTTATTTGAATTAATATTCTCGCAGTCGGGTCTTTTGATTTTTTAAATTTATCGTTTTTGTTTCACACTTTTTAGTTAGGATTATAAGACGGCATATAATAATTCCCGCGATATTACACAAGACTCTGTTCCACCACTTCAGTAAGGGAATTAATATCTCGGAAATTATTAAGTACCTTGCAGTGGTTTTAGACCGATTGATTTATTAAGACATAGAGACCTTACCAGCAGGGTCAAGGCTACACAGATGGGCCTCAATTTTCGCAAAAATGTGTGAAGTTAAATCAAGTAACCACCTATATATAACTAACGCATGTAAATTTTATAGTTAACTATTACTTATTCAAGAAGTTTTTAGTAGTTTATAAGTAAATATAAAATTCATTTACTCTTATTCGTCGACTATCTAAAATTGGCAATGGCTGCATTGTCATGTCAACGTCCGGCACTAAGATTATGATATACACAAATACAGTGTCATATCCTAGTCTCATAATTTGAAATACCTACAATATTCACAGAATCCAAATATGTAGACGTCAGAGTTTAACTTCAAATGTTGTTAATCAACCTTTATACAATACCAATCAATGACGTTAATGTCGCAGGTTGACGAAAGCAATAACTCCCGTCTTTTGTTTTGGACACTGGTGGCAGCTGCCTTTGATCGCTAAATTAAGTAATTATGAAATCACCAAAGCAAAGTTTTTAATATTTGATTGAAGTAAAGGCGTAGAATAAAATTTTGATAGCGTTAGGTACAGCACTATAGCAATCCTATTTATTATCAATTTATCACCCAATTTATAAATTTACATCTTTGTCGTTCTCTTTTAAAGCTTTCACTAGTTACAGGTCGCAGACTTTCTAGTCTTCCCTTTTTATTGATTGTGTAGAACTCGAATGTAGAGTACTTATTACTTACGTATTAGAATAAGTATATATGTATAAATTACCGAATAACGAATCACTGTTTACCAAAAACGCTAAGTATCTTTGCAAATATAATGAAATGAACCTATTACTTACTTTATTTTTAAATATTTTTCATCAATTCGATCTCATTATCCTAACTATCTATAGTAATATTATAAAGAGGCAAGAGTTGTATGTTTGTAACAAATAATCTGTCAAACTACTGACCCGATTTCGAAAATTCATTCATCATAAGGTAGTTACATTATTTATTATAATATTTTCAAGCTTTAATCTCAATATCGTTGATTAATCTGCTAGATTATCTTTTAGTTGTAAAAAATCCACCCTGACAACTTCCCCGAGTGAAATTTTTTCTAGTTAAAATTGTAAATTTTTGGCTATATTTTATTCCGTTAAAATAAATTTTGCCCGTGCAATGCCGGGCTGGGTCACTAGTAAGTACATATAATATAATATTATAGATGTGAAAGTTAGTTTATTTTTACGCTTCCGCGCACTAATAGCTAAATAGATTATGATGAATTTCCCTATAGAAATAGATGGGCCTTGGTTCTAAGATACAATATCGGCGTAGATTGATGGAAGTTGTGATTTGCCTATAAATCTTTATATTATTTACTTTCAATTTTGTATAATTATTATTTATAATTACAAAACCAACATTATCGGGAACTGATTAATAAATACAGGGAATCCATTAAATATGTACCTACTAGCAAAAAATAGGTTATTTCTCATTGTGTTAAGTAACCCTTTTTTGTAAAGTGAAGTAATATCGGTAAAATAAACTTTTAAAACAGTATAATTCTGTGTTTTTCATCATATTACAATAATCATAAACACCTATTATGATAATTTATTTTTCATCATTTAATAAGGAGGAACTGTATCACAGTTTCGCCTAGGTTTTATCTACGTTTATAAAAAACAAAAATTAAAATTCTTGTCCCACTATTCACGCAGTTTACTCCTGCATAGTACACCGCTATCACTTTTTCATCGTTGTAACTTTTTAAATATTTGTCGATATGACATAATGTAAAAGGCAAACTTTATCGTCTTTTAATATCAAAAATTATAACAGTATTTGTTTTGAGAAAAAATAATTTGTGAATACAAAATGTGCATTTTGGAAATGGACATCAAATAATATTTTATTTAAGATTTACTATTTTAGCCATAATGGCTTGCACATTAAAAATAGATATATGGGGTCGCGAACGTTTTTGTAGAACTATTTATGAGATACATTTTCACTCTGTATTATATTAATGTAACTTTTATTGTTTTTGCAGTGCAGGATAAAATGGCTCGCAGATTTGAGATTTTTTCCGTCTGACGTGACAGTTATTGTTATATTTTGGCCAATTCACTCAATGACTACATAAATTATTACTAAAGGTAATTATCATCATTAGCTGTCCTATTGCAAAGTTTTGTTAAAATCCATTCAGTATTTTTTAAGTGAAAGAATAACAAAGATCCATACAAACGTAAAATTGAAATTAAAAGCGCAAGTGGTCAATATACAAGTTTGAATCGTTGTAGATCCTAAACAGTCATATAAAATGAAAAATGGTGTAAGAAACCAAAACATGATTTTCCATTATGATTGATTTTAGACAATGAACCCCTACTCGACATATTTCGTCAACTTATTTTTTTACTTTGTCACAATATGGCGCCGAATTTTCCCCAAATTGAATTTGGATAACTATCATATCTTTAGTAGCACTCCCATGATTAAGACGAATCGATTGATGTACGAATCATCAAAATCGGTCCACGCGTTTGGTTTCTAGTGTGCCACTAAGGAACATACATACATATATAGACTGTTAAACACTATACCCTGTCTGCGCGTCGCGCTTCGCGATCTTGCATTGCGCAGTCGAGTAAAAACTGAACTGTATTAAGTCCCCTCATAAAATAGTATCTAGACAAAAACTTGAATAAACATGTCGTACCCTCAGGGGAAAACAGGCATAAGACGGAAATGCTGATTTTTCAGTATGGCGAAAAAACTGAATTTATGGGCATATTTTCTTTATTTTCAAACGTAGAAGAATTATTCTTATATCAAAAAAAGAAGAAAAATTATTGCACTGCGTGTTGTATTTAAGTTAGTGTTAATGTTTATAGTTTATTAGAAATTGTAAAAATAAATTATTATGCTATTTTTCAGAATGTAATAAAATAAAAGATTCTGAGTATCAAAATTTATGCCAGATTTTGCCAAAAAAGTAAAATGTAGTTCAAAACGTATGTTGTATTTTAGCAGTAATGAACTTGTAAATACGAACACTTATGCTAGTATAAGTAAGATTACTGCATTATTTCCTTTATTAAAATTTTGTTTGAAATGTATAAGCAATACTTACCCCTTTTTTCAATTTAAGGGCTTGATAATATAACTTAAGTAAACAATAATAATAACTAATTCCATTATATGTTATAGAATAGTTAATTGCATATTAACACATATTATTTAGAGTTATTATTTATGACTATAGGGAAAAAGGAAATGTTTTTTTGTATTCACTATTTTTTTATTTCAGGCAAAATACTAATTGTAGTTTTGATTACAATTAAAGTTCGTACTATAAACAATACAATTGCACAATAATAATTCAGAAATGTAGAATTTCGGTGAAGATACTACCACTATTGATTTTTTTTTATAAATTCTTAAATAATCAGGAGATAATTTGTTAAGACTTGTAACAATTAACGAAATAAGGTTTTTCTCGGCTCCGTACAACAAAATATTATGTTCTCTCAATAAAAACCTAATAGTAACAAGCAAAATTTATTAACAAATCAAGATACTTTACATATTGCCAGTACCTTTTTTTTTAATAATCAACGAATAAAAAAACAAATAAAATGTCGTCTTTAATCAGTAATGAGATCAAAAAAAATCTTGGCTTTCTTCCACGTTATCTTCTTACTACGAATTCCTATCCTAGAATCACTATACGAATCGAATCACTATATCTCTAAAGAACATTATTCCTAATATGTGTAGCCCTAATGCACGCTATCCTTAATAACTTTAAACCTGTAACATGTATGCCTAATATTTCGATCCCGAATGCATGCTATCCCTAATAAATTTGAGGCGAGCTAAACTGTACTTCCAGGGCCCAAGTGGTGATACTTCATACTAGGTTAGGTTAGTGCTGTGACCATAACGCGCGAGCCGAGCGAGCGAAGCGAGCGTGCCGCGGCAGCGGCCGGCAAAGCGCCAGAAAAATATTACCAATTCTAAAGTTATTAGGGATAGCGTGCATTCGGGGTCGAAATATTAGGTACAATAACAAATTACAAGAAACACTATGTCCATGCATTACGATCATTTAGATAATCATTAACTTTATAATAGTCCTCATTCATAAGAGTATTCTTGATCTGAGATTTAAATTTGGTCAGTGGAAGCTCAATGAGGTCTTGGGGAACTTTATTAAACAATGCAATACTACATCCCAGAAATGAACCTCTTGATTTTTGGAGTCTGAAACATGGAACGGCAAGCTTGTTCTTAAATCTTGTGTTAAAGTTATGGGTTTGATTTTTTTGCAAATG